TCTGCTTAAAACACTCTCTCTCCTTGTTCCTATGCCCCTCCCCCTGCTCTCTATCTCTCTTTTAAATAAATCTTTAAAAAAAATACGGACACAGACACACAGACACACTGCACTTTCTTTTCTATATTTAAAGAAGCCAGAGATCAATAAATATACAGAGACACAGATGCACCCTTTATTTATTTATTTATTTATTTATTATTTTCATATTCTTGTCTGTATATAAAGAAGCCAAAAATCAATAAATATACAGACACATAGATACACACACAGACACAGACACACACACACACTCATTTATTTATTTATTTTCAGATTCTTTCTGTATATATTTGGAGAAGCCAGACACACACACACACACACACACACACATTTATTTAATTAGTTAATTAATTTCCCCATACTTTTCTATATATATATATTTAAGGAAGCCAGAAATCAATACATATTCAGATATACACACAAAGACACACACACACACACACACATTTATTTTTTTATATCCACACAGATTTTTTACATATATTTAAAGAAGCTGGAAATCAATAAATATGTGGACATACACGCACATACGCTTATTTGTTTATACCTAGATTTTTTTCTATGTATATTCAAAAAAGATGGAAAAAGAGTTCAGGGTGGGTCTTGGGTTTGGGTATTTACTTCATTTCTTCAATAAAATATTAGATGCCTGAATAATAAGTTATATCACATATTTTATAGGTATGTATCAAATATTTCCTTATTATGTTGTGCATGTTAGTTATGAATCCAAAACCAACCATTCATCTTAGTTTTGATTATTATTCCATGAATAATTTTATCTTTCCCCACCATTATCATTTCTCCCTTCTCATATTTTTGATTTATCTGGAATTTATTAGTGTATTTCTTGATGTATGTGTCAAAAGTGATTCTTCTTAACACCCACATTTAATTACTTTTATGTGTTTTTAGAAGTTGTATATTTTCCCATTGTTGTGTAACTTATTTTATATTACTAATATAATTTATTCAAGAAAGTAAGAGCTTCAATCAGTGAAACATAGATTTTTCTCAGGATTGACCAGGGTACTTGGGTGGCTCAGTCATTAAGTGTCCGCCTCTTAACTTCAGCTCAGGTCGTGACCTCAGGGTCATGAGATTGAGCCCTGTATCAGGCTCCATGCTGGGCATGGAGCCCAAGATTCTCTCTCTCTGTCCCTCCCCTCCCCCTCCTACTGCTCCCCCAACTCATACTCTCTCTCTCTTAAAAAAAAAAAAATTGACCAATGAAAGAATATTTATGAAAATAAAGTATATTTATGTGTTTTAAGTTAAATAGTGTAGTTCTCATTTTAAACAATTGTTTTGATTAATTATTGGCCTCAACTATGCTGGATAAGAGGGATTCTTTATGTAATTTGTACAGCTACAAAACAGTTGTTATCTCTCTGGGAAGCCACTTCTTTTGTAAAACTGTTCATGGATTTTAACAAATATTGTCATTGCTGTACAAAATAAGTTTAATGTTCTAGATTACCCTTTGACCCAGTTGCATAATCTAATTTAATACAAACTGGAGACTCAGAACGTTTTTGTTTCCCCCAAGCTTTGTTTAATCACATGGTTTATGGAGAAAGGTGGGGGTCAGGATGGGGAGGAGCCTAGGTGTCGCAGAACAGGGATGCATAGGATAGTTCCATTTTTTTTTTCAAAGTGATTTGGTTGATAGCTTTTCACCAAATTGTTTAAATTACAAGTAACTCCCCATGCAGGCATTTGAGAGGCATTTGGTTGTGCCCCCACTTCCAATTTCCCCGATTCCACCCACCACTCCGTACACCTGTGGAAGTTTGTGTACTCTGGGCTGAATGAACAACTAGCCAGGGTCGCCTCCTTCCCAGGGGAGATGATTTTTAATTGTGTGTTTTCATCATTAGCTCTAGCTCTTTCCATTTAGTCACCATCTTCTACGTGCCATTCCCAATAAACCATCGTGTTTATGTGACCACTATATCATATGAATCCAGCAACTCTTTGAAACTGGCACATTAAAGTCCCCTTTTCAAGTTTTCTATATGCAACCTATTACTGCTCTGATGTCATTATGTTTTAAGATATGATGAGTGCCCCACAGACCCCACATTTTGTCACTTTTCATATAACTTTCATGATCACTCTTTTAGTGTTAATTGGTATTTTGAAAATCCACATGCTCATTTCCAGCACATCACCATCTTACTTCAGTATTATGTCTTCCTTTCAGCCCTTACTAATGATTTGATAATCTTTCTATTAATAAATATCAAGTAGGCCATGAAGGATTGATATTAAAGTTTTTTTTATTATGTCAATAGAACCACTATTAATTATGTGGCTTTATTTCATATGTTAAGGTTTTGCATCTTAAGGATTTTATATTTTATCAATAGAGAATTAATTGTGTTGCTTTGTTTTTATTTTATATGTAGTTTTGAAGCCAGGAGTACTTTAGTTGATCCCTGGAATATTTTGGATAATGGATACTCAGTTATTTGATATGTTCTTTATACCACCCCCCCACTTCCAAACTTACCCCACCCTCCCTTTAGACTCCCAGACCCTCCCCACTGCTCCACCCCTATTGCTCCACCCTCCTTTCTCCCCTCCTCCCCCCACTCTCCCACTGTCCCACCCCCATTACTCCACCCTTCCCTCTCCCTGCCTTCCTCCACCCTCCCCCTTATCCCACTCTCACTGCTCGCCCCCCACTCCCTTCCTCCCCCCACCCTCCCCCCCACCCCACCTTCACTGCTACAACCCCACCTTCCTCCCCCACCACCCCACCCTCACTGCTACAACCCCACCTTCCTCCCCCCACCCTGTTCCTTTGATGTTGGTGGATGACGCTGAAATGATCAGAACACAGTTTGCACTTAACCACTAAATCTTTATTAATTGAATTTTTATTATAACATCAATACAATATTAGTAAATAGAGAGAAATACAGCAATAAAATGGGGAAGGGTAGGGAGGTGGTAGGGGTAGGGAGAAAAGGCAGGGATAGGTAGGAGGACCACTGACAGGGTTCTTATTCATCACTTTTCTGTAACTTCCATGAATATTTACCATCCTTCATTATCAATTTCATTCCAGCAAGTCAAAGAACATCTATCTCCTCATCCTGTAACTCTCCAAAGTCTTTGCTCACAATCTGGAGCCCTGGACTTAATACCCAGGGCAAAGTTAAATTATTTATTCAATCACCTTTGAACTTTTTCCCACTAGAGTTTTATCCATGTCCAATTTACCCTAAATAGTTTGATCTCCCTGCAGTTCCCTCTGAGTTTATTTGAAATCTTTAAGGGTAGCAATCATAGGGTAAAGGATCACAAGTAAGTACACATGTCCACTTATAGAGTTATCTAATACATAATATCATGCTAACTTTTAAACTAACCCCACCTACTTAATTACTTAATAGTCCCTCCCACCCTAAAATACTTACGATTATATATACCCCCTATTACTTAAACTGATTACATAAAGAAATAAAAACAATGCAATTTCCACAGACTAATTCCATCAATCACATTCTACAATCTGAAACAACAAAGAACTTTCAGTCCCACTAGATGTTCATTCTTTTGATGAAAATGCAGCGTGGTTCCCACCCAACTCTTCGTCTTGGCAGGTGGTCCTTCATTTCTGCCCAGGTCTTTCCAGCAGAGTGTTCTCTGTTGCCAATCTTGGAACTGTAGCTGACATTCGACGTCTGTGGTGGATGACAGGCAGATCAATTCAGGAGCCCAAGAGGTACCTGCAAACTTAAAAACACAAATCCACACTGCACCATATAGATGTGCCCCTCTTTACTTTGTGCACCTGCAAATTCCTTACGTCACCTCACATGATTGAATCAAACTAATTCTTCATTTTCCAGCATCAAGTACAAATACCTCATTGCTCAAACTAAATTGACCCTTCAGAGATGTATGTAAACTTCCTCCATTTCAAGATCTTTGCACGACGCCTTCACTAGTTCTCTCCAGGTTTGCCTAACAATGGGAGCTCATACCTTCTTCCTTGATTTAATTAACACCAATAATTTGGGTCAAAAGTCAATCAAAGTTGCCAATTTGTTTCAAAAAGGTTGAATACTGGCTTTAATAATTCTGATGTTTTGATATATGTCCTTTATGCTTTATTTTGCTCCCTTTCTAACTCCCTTAGAGATTTAATTTCTTTGCTCCTTCCTTCCTTATGAATAAAGGCATTTTGTGGAAAAAATGCCAAAAGAAAGTTAAAGTATCCAATTAACATAATCAACAACAACAAAATAAATTCAGTGAAAGGAAACTTATTAAATTCCGATACTATAGAATAAATTTGAAATTACTTATCCTTAACACCTACATTTATAGATAGTATATATAGCAATAAAGCATAGAACACACTGCCAACAGTTTTTCACAAGCTTTACTAAACAGCCAAATGTGCGTCAGGGTCTTCGTCCATGCGTCGCTGACCCACACCACCATGCTTTCCCTGACCGCTGCTGTCGTTGGGGGACATCTCCAGCCTCTGCTTGCAGTGATGGCAAATGTCCGTGTGCTCATGCCGGGGCCGCAGACAATGACCTATTTCTAGGCCCTCTGCAGCTTGAAGATCAAGTGACAACTGTAAATTTGACACAAAACAACTTGAATTCAAATGTATGGATGATGGGTTGATTTGAGGTAAACTGAAGTGACACTTCAAAATAGCCCAGAAGCACAAACGCACCATTTTAAAGGTAATTACTCTAAAACACATGAGTGACTGACAAGCTTTCAATTCCATTGAAGGAAAAAAAAAAGAAAAGTGGGGGTGGGGCGCGGGGAGCGGGGAAGTCATTTAGAATTAAATAGCCAATTAGGTATCTTTTTTTAATTTGTAGATCTTTTTGTGTGATTTTTTTTTAAAGGCCCAATTGATAAAATTGACGTCACATATGACATTAACCTAGCCGATTGAAGAAGAACGGGATGAACTGAGGAGCCTCTCATTCACAGTGTTGTAAGAGAAGTTCACAGTTAAGAAAAATTTTATACTATGTTACGTATCAATTTTAATTAGTTTAACAATAAGAATGGGATAGTACTTTGTAATTCAATGGAAATAACTTCTGAAAGCAGTCAGCACTTTAAAACACTGTTAAAAGACACTAGTAACCTATAGCTAAAACTTTTAAGTATTTTAAACATGCAAGAATAAGGGTGGGGGATAATGAATGGGTGAAAGGGGATGTGGATGAAAAATGAAACTTCACCATTAGACTCCTCTTCATGATACGCAATTTGAAATCTATACCATGTTGTCTACTGCTCAAACTGTGTTTTGGCAATCGGAGGTTGTGTACTGAGACACAAGCCCCTTGAAGCCTGCCTCTTTCTCCTCCGTGCGTGGCAGCAAAATGGAGTCTCAGCAACCAGGCAGGAAAGATGACACAAATCCTGCAGCAGGGATAATGGCAGCAGTAAAGAATTAAACAGAAAGAGAGAGATTAGACAGTTCAAGGTAGTAGCAAAAGACCAGGCTAAAGAAGTCAGGCAGTCCCAGGTTAGCACAAAGCATCCAGGAGACTAGAGGTCATCTCTGGACTGAAGACAACGCTTGTGTTGTCTGTTGCTTTGAGTCATTTGAGTTGCTTTGAGGCCTTTCATTCATTGGCAGCTTCTTTTCATCTCCATCCTCTAGAGGGGACCCTTTTTCACTGTGTGAACTCTGATCCTTTTAAAGTGAGGTTACCCATCAGGCTACCCTCTGGATTTAAAGTTCACTAAAGAAGTCCATATCTTCAAGACAGTGTCCAGTGCCCCAAGTCCTCTTCTTCAAAGATAACCCTCGCAGGCATAGGAGTGTGGGTCTGGGTGCTAAATTCATGTCCCCTCTCTAAGCATCCTAATGCTACAGTCTAGTGAGGGGACTGATGATGAAATGCCCAGATGTATATGGAGGCAGACGCATGGAGAGATGCTTCCAACACTTAAGGTGATCCTCTTCCAGCCAATTAACAACACTCCTGAACTTTCTTCCGAAGAACCAGGACAAGTTGATAACATTAACTCAGAGTCTCTTAAGAGTTGGGTACGGGACTGCAAGGTAGTCACGCCTCATAAACATCTAACATACCTGGAGCCACCAACAGTCTCTGGTTACCAGGTTTAACTTTTTTGTGGAAGCCATTACTGGCATGATGATGGTAAGGTGTTGTGAGAAAGCCAGAGTCCTTGGGTACATGAGATTTGCACCAGGGTGTGAAGGCACACTCTAAGCATGCAAGAGTCCCTTCTGAGAGAGCACTTCCTTCTGAGGCCTGAGGTGTTTCTGTTGCAGGGGTTTTGCCTGCTCCTGGGAGAACCGGTCGAGTTGCTGCTCCTTGAGAATTAACGGAACCATGAATGCAGAGTTTGAAGATGGTGAAGTTTCTAAGGGTGCAGCAAAAAGATCACGGAAGCCGTTTTACACTGCACCAACAATTCTGGCTTCCTTAATAAGGCGTCGGTCCTCCAGTGATGTAAAGAGAGTACCGAGACTGCAAGAAAAGTCATGTCCTCCTCCTCCTCATCTCCCCCTCCACAAAGAAATCAGCATCTCCTGTGTTTGCATCAGCTTCTCTGTAAATGTTAAACGTGGAATCTGGCAGCCTATTAATTTAGATGGTGACAGAGGTTTCAGCAGGTAAAACCCAGGCTTCCAGGATTCGCTGGGAAGTAAACTTGTCAGGAATTTTAGTTAAATTGGCAGTTAAGGTGGAAAACTGAGAGATAAAATGTGTTGGTAAATATTCTGTCGCTCTCAGAAAATGGTGGAGGTCTTTTGGTGCTTTTTTAGGATGTGTGCCAGTCCAGGGTGGCCCTGACCTTTCCGTAGCCATTTCAGAGAGGGCTGTGCCTCAGGTTGGCCTGAAGATGCAGTAGCCGAGTTTAGCACACAGTCACTGATTGAGAAGCTGAGCAGGAGTAAATTTGAGGGTAGAGATCCTGAAGGACATGACAAGTGTCTACATGGTGCTGTAAGACGGCGGCGGCGGCGGCGGCGGAGGAGGCGGCGGCGGCTGCGGCGGCGGATACTGGGGTACCGGAGGCTGGCGGTACCAATGTGGGTTCCAGGTGATCATCACGGGGACATAGAGCGATCGTCCATGTCCATCTCGCCCCACTGGGTACCAGGCGAATCCTACTGGGTAGGTCGGGTACGTGGTGTATGTGGGGTACGTCTGGTATCCAGGTAGTTGAGGTACGTATTCAGTGTACGTTGCCAGGTGAGCCTGGTCATCCAAATTTGGAATAGAGAGTCGAGGATACTGATTCTGAATGGTGAAGCTGTTGGGAGCTCGGCAGTCGTAGGAGACTTGCAGTTTCCATCCCCTCTTCACCTGGAGAACTTGGGCTCCATTCGGGGCGATTGTTGGAGTAATCAGCCCGTCTTTCACGTTTCTGGCCACAAAATCTCGCAGGGCTGCCATTTCGGGTTCAGACAGTGAGTACACGTGTCCGCTGGGAATACTGTGGGCTCCAGGTATCATTTCGATGGTAGGATCAACCAGGCGGTGATCCGGGTAGACGTTTTCGTCCACTGGAGTGTACACATTCTGGACATAGTAATACCTCACTGGCTGGTAAACTCTGTATCCATCCACCGGGTAGTAAAACGACGGCTGTGCCGGTGGTGGGAGCGACGGAGGTATTGGGGAATACATCCGGCAGTGGTATCGGCAATATTCAGAATCAAAGACGATTGATCGGGTGCTCCATGTGATGTTGGGATCGTGTGTGCTCAGCCAGCGCACCCCGAGGACGACGGGGAAGAACGGAGACTGAGTCACATCGAATGACAGCACCTCGCGGTGATCTCCCAGGTCGACTATCAGGTCGTGCGTTTCGTGGACAACTGGGCCCGATGCTATGGGGCGTCCATCAATCGCTTCTACCAGTATCGGCCAGTCCTTGACCCTCAGAGGAATTCCGTTTTGGGCAACATATTCGTGATCGATGAAGTTGCCAGAAGCACCAGAATCGATCATGGCTCGGACGAACAGGGTGTGTCTGCCCGGGAGATGAATCTGGAGCATCACTTGCAAGTGTGGAGATGAAGCATCATCTTGTGGGGACCTTATTAATTCTGGCCCGGTCGCTGAAGGTCCCTCTACAGCGGGGCCGGGGAGTTTCCCGCCGGCGAAGCCTTTGAGGCCTTGGCAGGACAGTTGTCGGCGTAGTGACCTCCATTTCCGCAGTAGAGGCAGAGGTTCAGCTTTCTGCGTCTTTCTTTCTCCTCCTGGGTCAGGCGCATGCGGGCGCCGCCCACGGGCTCGGTGGGATCTACCTGGTGGTGGCTCGTGATGTGCGGCAACACCAGCGCGCGCGGCGGGGAGCGCGGCTTGCGAGCGGCGGCAGCTCTGGCCAGCCTTCTCTCGATGTGGATGCACTGGCCGATCAGCGCCGACAGAGACTTGGCCACTTCGAGGCGGGACAGCTCTGCCTGAATGTGGTCGCTGAGGCCCTCGTGGTACTGGTCGATCAGGGCAGGCTCGTTCCAATCCAGGTCCTGCGCAATCATCTGGAAGGCGTTGGAGTAGTCGATGACCGACCCCATGCCCTGGCGCAGACGTCTGATCTTGCGTTTGGCGGCCTCTCGCCTCTGGGGGTCTTCGAAGACGTGCTTCATTTCAGTCATGAAGGCTGGGTAGTTGTGCATCAGGTAGTGGGATCGCTCCAGCTTCGCGGAGGCCCAGCGGGCGGCGCGGCCGGTCATCATGCTGGTCACGAAGCAGACGCGGACGCGGTCGACTGAGAAATCTCTGGTGCTTTTCTCCATGAAGAGCTGGCACTGCGCCATGAAAGGAACCAGCATGTCCGGGTTGCCGTCGAACTTCTCAGGAAGGTCATCTGGGCACTCTTCCTCTAGGGGAGTGGGTGGGGCAGCCGCCGCCGCAGCACCGCGGAGCTCGAGGTCATCCTCCTCATCCTGAGGGGGGGGCTCCACTTGCTCACGGAGGGAGGTGTTCTCCTCTGTGAGTTTCTGCACCTGGTTCTGCAGGTTGTTGTTCTCCTCGGACTGCTTCATGACCTTCTCTCGGAGGTTGTTGATCTCTTCAGAGAGATCGTCCCGCCTTCGTTCGGCCAGGTTGGGGATGTATTGGCCCCTTTGGGCGCTGCGTGAGGAGGAAGAAGAGGAAGAGGAGGAGGAGCAAGAGGAAGAGGAGGAGGAGGGGCCGTTGGGGGGAGGAGGAGGAGGAGGAGGTGGGCAGTCGGGCCCCAGGGTGAGAGCTGGAGTGGGAGGAGACCTCCCAGATGTAGCTTCGCTCCTGTGGGGATGGAGGCCCGGATCCTGGCCTCCTCTTCCACCCTTTCTTCTTTTTGTTTTCAAAAGCTTTTTGTTTCTGTAAACAAAGATAAAAGTATAAATTTAACATACACATTCAAAGCAGCACATTTCAAAAAAACACTTTAGCATTTTAAAGTAGCCACTAAAATACTTTAAATACATGAGTATTTAAAGTATCCCCTAAAATACTTTAAATACATGAGTATTTAAAGTATCCCCTAAAATACTTTAAATACATGAGTATTTAAAGTATCCCCTAAAATACTTTAAATACATGAGTATTTAAAGTATCTCTTTGTTCTACTTGCTTACATTAATAATTAATAAACACAAAGCTTGCAAAAGGGAGAAAGAAGTTAATCAATTAAGACAATAGATAACAAAAGCATCCTACTTTTTCATGTCCAAATGACCTTTTCCTCCTCAAATGTCACCTGTTTATTATGTATTCAATAATACATAACTATATCAACAGCAAGTTTACCTTCCCTAACTATAAAAGAATGCTGAGACATTCTAAACAACAGTTTTGTACCAAGAGAGCATGGCAAGAAACTTTCAAGTCAAAGATGGAGACCAAATAAAAACACGCAGGTAAAGCCAGAAGGATAATTGTTATTAGACAAGTTACCTGAGAAATAGCTAATATTCCAGCCAAGAGGGAGCCAAAAAAAAGGGTGGGGGGATTAGAATCACAATGCCTATATTCATCAATATAGACACTACCTCCAAGGAAGTTGCCAAGTCGTTATCAACATTAACAACTGTCACAGAGCCCACAGGATTGTCTAAATCCAACCATAATCTAACCACAATCTGATTTCCCAAAGAGAATTCCCTATGGGACAGAAGTGGCACTGAGCAGTTTCCCTCCTTATTATGCAGTCAATCCACAAATATCAATTGATGCCCCCCAGGAAGAGCTGGGCTGTAAAATGGGACGTTCCAAGACGCCCAATAACAGTACACCTCAAACTTATAATACAGATTTAATTATATACTGTAAGTAAAGCACTGAATATTCAACAACTGTTAGCTAATATTAATAAAGTTATTAATAAGGAAGGTAACTTTCTGTGTAAAGAGGCTAAAATTAAAACAGGGAGGGGCTGCAATTATGGCAACCTAGCCATGCATTTCCCACCTAAAGACATTAATTTATTTTGGATACACTGTTGGCCAAACCTAGGGCCTCATTTGATTTGCAGGTCATCAGTTTGCAACTTCTGGTGTTTAAACAAGTTTTTGTTAGCACAGTCCCACCCAAAAGTTTGTAATTTAGAGCAGGACAGGGCTGTACCCATTGCTAGGTGGTGAGAGCTATATGAGGGAGTTGGGGGGAGTTTGAGGGGTTGGGGATTAAAGGTCTTAATTATGGGTATGGGGACAATAAATCACACATACAATAAATCATACAACAGTGCCTACGTACTTCTTTAAAAGAGGGTTAAATGCATTTATAATAATTTATTTTAACTTTTTAATAATTTTTAAATGAGCATTAAATTCTCATATTTGGAAAACTTTAAGAAAGTGCTCCAAAGTTTAAAAACATAACTTAGAAAGCGGGCAGACTGCTTGTTCACCAAATTTTAACTTGGCAGTCCTGGCCGCCTATTCCTCTCTGACCCATCAAGGCAAAAATGGGGCACTAAATTAATTATATTACTTAAAAATCACAAAGATAAACGTGTTATTCAAAGAAGTTAGGTGAAAAACACCTAACATTTCAATCAGTAGGGTATAAGGGGAAAAAAAAGGTAATGGTAATCAAACATGATGCCTGTACACTTCACCCTTGTCTCTAGCTATAGGGAAATACCCCTTTCTCCTCCTTCCTTGAAACCCCTCATAATCTTTTAGGCCCTTCCCCTGCATCCCCCCCCCCCCCAGCCACTTTATGCTCTGCTCTGTCCTTGGAGTGGCTATACAGCAAGCAGAGTCTTTAAGGAACAGAATTACCGTGCCATTTTAATAGTTTTAATTGGCATTCGAGATAAAATATTCTAAATAGTCTGGAAGTTTAGAAAATAAATCATAACCTGTGACACTTTCATTTCTAACTCCTTAAAGATAATTGTATTAGTGACACTCAAAAGGTCACAAAATAGTGCAATTTTTATTTATCAAAAAGTTTTATTTTTATTTAATAAATATTTAATAAAATAAAATTAATTACTTAATAAAAATTTTTATTTAAGAAACATCCCATTTATTAAAAGTTTTAATGTCCCATTAAAAACAACTAATAAGCATTAAGTCAGGTGACTCAGGTGCCACTTTTGTCATCTAGACATTAATAGTTTGAAAAGTTAGAAAGAAGACTTCTGGAAAGGCATTCAGAGCATGGCCTGGGGCTGCCTGACCCAGGTCATGAAAGTTAACAACCTACATGTCAATCACAGTCACTGGGGTGTGCTTTATTGAGGCCCAAGTCTGAAGGTTTTAACATCTGCAAAACACAATAATAGGACAGGTATAACAACATGTTCAGAAATCAGCAAACAACCATTGTATTGTTTAGGGAATCAGAAGATCAATAAGTGTTTAAAATTCAATTGCTTTTGGTAGACAGGAAGATAACATAAAAGTGAGAAGAAACTGGAGTTAAGACAATAAGACAGGGGCTGTGACTATGTAATTTGGGGATGCATGTCCCCTCCCAAAGACACTGAATTCTTTAACAAATTTTTAATTCAGTGCTGGTCAAATTAAGGACCTTATCTGACCTGCAAGTTCACCAGTTTGAGACCTCTGACCCTTCCTGAGATCAGGCATCAGATACCCACCCATGGGATATTTAATTTTGGGATGGGACTCCAAGTCCCAAAGGAGATAACTGCCCAGACAAGAATAGTTTAATCTTTAAAAATGGTAAGATAGTGGGCAGGCAGGTTAACATTCAGTGTAAATAAAGTTTTAAAATATTTAAATAGTGACTAAAGTACCAGTTAACTTGATAACAGGAGCGGTGTGACTTTATTTGAATTACAGAACTCTGGCTCCTTCAACCCCCCCTTACTAGGGGCTGGACTGCAGAGGTGAGGTCAAGAGCCCCATTCCTAAAACCTGAAAGGACGCACAGCATAGAGCCAAGCCCATGGGACAGATGTCCTTTAGACATGGAAAAAAAAATTCCTTTAGACATGGAAAAAAAAATTCAGTGTTAATCTATATAGGAATTAAATACATTTGATTAATCTTTGACTCTTCATGATTACTTCTAAAAACTTCTATTCCCCAAACACACCAAAGAGTAACAGTAGCCAAAAACCATTGCACATTAAATATCTCATTAGAAAATGACATTTCATTAATCAACTCTTAATTGCCTTACATTTTCAAACCCAATTTCCTTTTTAGTACCTTGTGTGTTATTTGTGAAATGCAAATTATATTAATATGCACATTTTTACCATTGTTTTGAACTTTAAAAGAATGCAAAAGAAGATACCAAATTTCCAAAGGGGGTGGGGGTTAGGGTAGCAAGGAGGGCCTGGGGAGTAATTGAAAGCTGTAATTACTCTAAATATAAATATGTAAAATATATAAATTATATACTTGTTGGGGGGAGATGATAGATATTTGGGAGTTAAAATCCTGGCTCATGGCTTATAATATGGGAAACCAGGTTTTAAAATTTCTTCCTTTAGTTAGAAACATAAACGTAGTATATCTAACTGGAGGTAAGGCATCAATTTGTTTTATATGTATGTTTTATAATGCCAGCTAAAACCCTCCAATCTATATTTTGTAATATTGATGTTACATTATACAAATTTCAAATATGACAATTATGTACCACCATTAAGTATTCCATTCACCCCAAATTTAAATAATTAGCTTTTGCTTTTCATTTTAAAAAAGCTAATTATTTTGAATATCTTAAATATAGTTTTGTCTTATAATTACAGCTTACATTACTAGAGTTTAAAAACGCACTTTTTTTTTCATCCTGTTAAGTGTGAGAGATAACGCAAGCAAGCAATGCCTGGGACATTCCAGGACAGCAAACACCATAGAAAACAAACCAGGAAACCTCTGCAGACTCCAAAGAAGGCACTGAATAAGCCAATTCACTCTGGTCATTTAATACATATTTAATGAATGCCTACCATGTGCCAGGCACAATTAATAAATATGTAGGCAAGTTAGCCAGGGCTAATCCCCTAGAGTTCCAAAGGAAAAAAAAACCCAGCTTCACAGGCACACAGATAAACACCTCATCCTTGGCTCAAGACCAAGCCAACAGTACCAATAAACCACTCCTATGAAGCACAGTTCAAAAGTTGTTCCTTATTTTCTGTCCACCAAAGAATCTGATTTCAGTAAGCCACCACAAATATCCATTAGTGTCTCTAAAAACCCTTAAGTGTGAAAGTATTTAAAACAATTTAATTTCATTTGTAGTAAAAACATTTAGCTGGATTGCCCTTAGGGGCACCAGTCATGTCTGCTCAGAAGCACTTTTCATAACCCACCATCAGAAGTTTAAATTGTGGAATTATATTACTTAATATACAAAGCACTTGTAAAAAATGCTTATAAATCCCAGGTATAATTAGCATTGTTGCTAACTGTTTTTATTTATTATTCTTATATTTATTAGACACTAATGGATAAAAAGCAAAATCCGCGCTGCCAAGAAACCGCAGGAGGGAGGGGCTGTGCAGCCAGGCTCAGGCAGTGAAAGCAGTGAAGGCGCGCAGGCGCAGAGGATGTAGGCCTGTAAGGGAGGGGCTGGGGGCTCACACTGCGCACGCGCAAGAAGGCTCTGGGAGGCGGGGCCATAGGCCACCTCAGAAGAGGCGGGCTCAGGGAGGGGCCAAGCTTTGGAGAGGCGGTGTCTGGGCAAGCCACCTCAGAGGAGGTGGGCTCAGGGAGGGGCGCTTTCTGGGGGTATCGCCTCAGAGGAGGTGGGTTCAGGAGGAGGTGGGAGTTCTGAGGGGACCCACCTCAGAGGAGGAGGGCTCCGGGAGAGGCGGAGTCTGGAAGAGCAGCCTCAGAGGAGGCAGGCTCAGGGAGAGGCGGGGTCTGAGGGAGCGGCCTCAGAGGAGGCGGGCTCAGGGAGAGGCGGGGCTTGGGGGAGCGGCCTCAGAGGAGGCGGGCTCAGGGGGAGGCGGGGTTTGGGGAGAGCGGCCTCGAGGAGGCGGGCTCGGGGAGAGGCGGGGCCTGAGGGGGCAGCCTCAGAGGAGGCGGGCTCAGAGAGAGGTGAGGTCTGTGGGAGCCACCAGAGAGGAGGGGGCTCAGGGAGAGGCGGGGCTGGGGAGAAAGTGTCTAGAAGGCGCGCTCTAGGAAGGCGCGCTGCAGAGGAGGCGCGCTCTGAGTAGGCGCTGGGAGGCGCTAAGCACGCTCCGAGCAGATACTGCAGAGAAGGCGCGCTAGAATGGGCGGGGCAGGTCTGAGACTGGCTGTTTGCCTCTCCTAGGAACCCCCTCCCCAAACCCCTCCCACCAGCTTCCCCAGCCAGATTCATTTCATGCAACAGCGCGATCACCCCCAGATCCAACACCCCCCCCCAAACTAAGCAAACCAACAGTTTCCACAAACTGTTGCTGGACGCCAATTCGCGCCACCTTTACAACTACACCGCCACTTCGATCCAGCGCAACTAGGCAAGGCAGCCCGCTCTGCCACCACCAAAAGATTCCCTTTTGCACTCAAGTCAGCGCCCCTCCACTCCACAGCTATAGCTGGAATGGTGTGGGCAGAATGTTAAACACCAATTTTTGCCCAGGGCTCCATTTTGTCTAACAGCACCATCATGCAGACAACCGTCCTGCAGAAAAACATAGTGGGAGCCATTCCAAAAGGTGTGTTAGAGACAAAGGGTGGGGTCCCCCACTAAGAAGACAGAGTAATTTACTCTGCAGCTCTTGCCCCTTTACAGCTGGTTTCTTTGTAGCGCAAAACAGTGCAGCTTGTATACCTCTGCAGCTGTTATTACTTTGTAGCGCGTTTTAGGTGTAAATTCTCTGCAGCTCATGTACCTCTGCAGTTCCTGTGCCTTGGAGCACAATGAAGCGCTGTTGTAGTGCTAGTGGTATCATTCTTGTAGCGCTCATCTGCTGCAGCTCAGGTTTTGTAGCGCATTTAAAACGCAAATCAGTCATCAGTCTGCAGCTCATATACTGCTGCAGTTCATATGGTTTGTAGCGCATTGAAGCGCCCATCAGTTTGTAGCGCAATTGAAGCGCCCGTGCATCTATGCGCATTTGACGCGCTTATCAGTTTGTAGCGCATTGAAGCGCCCATCAGTTTGTAGCGCTGTTGAAGCGCCCATCTATCTATAGCGCATTTGAAGCGCTTATCCGTTTATAGCGCTTGAAGCGCCAATTAGTTTGTAGCGCCTATCACTATGTAGCGCTTTTGAAGAGCGAATTGCAGATTGGTCTGTAGCTCATGTCCGTCTGCAGCTCATGTCTGTCCGCAGCTCATGTCTGTCTACAGCCCTTATCTGGACTTGAGTCCTGGAAATCAGAGCCCTGAAGGCTTGGTTTCTCCACTCTGTTTTGGGGTTCTGCCAGTGAAGGCGTGACAAGATTTGCGTGGAGACATTCAGGGGCACTACTCCATCTCCCGCAGCTCCCGAAAAGGACAGGGAAGGAATGTGATCTTAATAAAAGAAACATCCTCACCGCATACTCACCACGCGAGGACTCCTCTGCGAAGACAGGAGGACGGGGTCCCACACCTGCGCCAGGCGTGGGTTCCGCTGGGTGCTCTGCAGCCCGGAGTGGCTCCGGACGCGAGCCCGCTCAGCGGACCTTTCTCGAGGCTCGGTGGACCCTCTTCGCTGTTCTCCCCAGGTCGCAGTCAGGTTTCTTCGACACACACCAACCGAAGTTGAAGCGCGTGTACCGGGAGCGCCGACTGGGAGCCTTATATAGGCTGAACAGAGGAGGGGGGCGCCAAATCCCAGCGTGCTCCGCGGGCTAGGGGGGCGGAGGGGAGCGGGGGCGGAGGGGGGATGGGGGATGGGGGTGGGGGCGATGGCCACGCTACACTGGCCCGCCGCTAGAGGGAGTACGGGATTAAGGAGGGGGTGCAGGATGCTGATGCTGAACTGGCCAAGCTGGGAGGAAAGAAGAAAGGGAGGGGAGGGGAGAATCGAGGACGGCCGGCCTAGCCAGGCCAAGAATGCAATTGCCCCGGTGGTGGGAGCTGGGAGACCCTTGTGCTTGGACGGGACAGGGTCGGGGGACACGCAGGATGAGCCCCGCGACCACTGGCACCTTCTTGCTGACAGGTTAGTGGCCCGCGCGCGACAGGAGGTCCTGGGGCCAACAGGCCGCCGCCTCCCCATCCCCCGCCCGGGTTTTGGGTATCTGGGTGCATTCTCTGGGTGTCAGCCCCTCTTGCTGCCCCGTCCCCACTACACCCCTCCTCCAGTACACCCCGTACCCCAATTCTCGGACCCTGTGAGTCCCTTTCCAGGCTTGACCCCTGGCCTTCTCTTTTTCTCCGCGCCCCCGCGGGCCCCTCCCTGCCTAGAGCGCGCAGAAATTCCATCTCCAATTTCCATTCCTACCCGCACCCCCTAATTCCCAGCCTTGGTGGTGGACCTCTCCCCATCCCTGCAGCAAAGACTTGGGGGTTGTCGCCCATTTTTCTGGGGGTCGTTACCATACGAAGGGGGCACTGCGGCCCGGAGACAAGCCATAGGAAATGGGTGTGAAGCTGCGTTCCTTTCCACGCAAACACATCCTTTTCTTTCCTTTCCTTGAATCCGATCGGGAGAGAAAACAAAAATGTGCGTTTGAAACACTTAATTCCCCCTCTTCCTAAGAGCATTTCTCGGCGGCGGAGATCTCGTTTTTCTTAGGGTTTATGGAGCGGGGAAGCAGAATCGTGAAATGCTGGGAGCTAAACAGGGCGTTCAGGTCAGGGTTAACCCCGGCTTGGGGCCAGAGTCGCTGCAAACAACCCCGTTTGCCCCACCAACTGCACTATTTTGAAAAGCTAAAACAATTAAAAACAGCTGTGGGTGCCTCCAGTGTGCTTGGAGGCTCCGGAGGCTCCCAGCTATGGCCTTTTGGTGATGATTACAAGGTTTACACAGAGACCTAGTTCTCCCTGCAACGTTACATTTTTCTAAATCTTGTAGAGAGAATGAATGCGTTTAGTCACGGTAACCGCATGTTTAATCCTTTCAAGCGTGTTGCCGAGATTCGGCCACAATTTGTATGTATTTATGCATATAAACATACATATTTTACCTTAGATAAAATTGCAGTGAGTTACAAGCCTTTAAAATGCTGATGAAGAAAGATGCTTAAAAAAAAAAAAAAAAGCCATAACGAGGATTTTCACTTAAGTGCTTCAAAGTGTTAGGTTCTGAGAAAAAGGACAATTTGTTGATGATCTTAGAAAAAGAAGTTTAGTTAAAAGGGAAAACCAATTGTTTACAGCTGAGTGAGGTTCCTGAAATACGGCTGAGACACATTTGTATTCGAAGGCTAAAACTGAGCATATTTTAGTAACATTGCTACAGATAATTTTATATATGGGAGAATTAAGAATTTGGCCCATTGTAGATGACAGGGTGTCAGGAATTGCACGTGAAGCTGGCTTTTCTAGGAATAAACAAAACTGGAGCACATTTACTGAGATTTTACTTTTTATCAGAAATGAGATGTTGACCATCGGATATATGAAAGAATGAATGAAGTGAAGATTTCCAACAATGAGAGATATTTTTCTAGGAAGTTGGGGAGAGCACAATTATACTTTCTAGAAGTGCCTTTTACTCTTAAGATGTTCATCCTTTCCTGCAAGTTAAAATAATTTTAGGATTCTTATGTTTGCCAGAGTACCATTCTCCTGACCACCAAACTGTCAACCCCTTAGACTTTTTCCAGTCCAGAAAAGTTACTTCACCTAATTGTTAACTGATAAGATATTCTTTTTCTAAAAAGTGAGAGTAAAAACCAGTATAGATGGTAGGGAAAAGGAAGGTTTAAAAATCTATCCCAAGACACTTAAAGTTTGAACCACTTTGAACCAATTTAAATTTTTTATTTCAAACTGTTAACCAGAATTTTTTTATATAAAAACAGATTTAGTATTATTTTTATCATACTGAATTCCTACTCACTATGCAAAATTCTGGAGAAAAGAACTCCAGAAAACTGGGGAAAAAGCAAGAAAATCAAGATCACCTGTAACCCCTTCATCCTGAGTTAACCTCCGTAAACATGATAGAGTTTACTTTTTCAGACTTTCTTTATGCATGCTTACGTATCAAAATAATATATATTCTTCATAGAGCTGCATGTGTATGATTTTTAAAAATTAAAAATGAGATTAAATTAATTTTTCAAATTAATTTTTTTCCAAAGAGAGCTGTCAAATAACATTATATTTCCCCAGGTTTTTTTTTAAAAAGGAAATAATATTAATTACTTTTTCTAATTAAAATTTGAAATGAACAACATTGGTACATAAATATTTAAAACTAGAGAACTGAGAATTTCCCCTGACTTCACTATTCTAACATACACAGTTATCCTTTTGGTGTATTTCCTTGTGTTTTTATTTCTCAACATATAAAATAATTATTACTTTGTTTAAAGACAGAATTTTCTAGGGAAAAAACAATATCGATAGGTAAGTGATTATGATAAAACTTTTAAAATCTGAAACAACAAGGCAATATTAAAAACAAACACAAAAAATCAACTATGATAGGCAAATACTTTAGATAATATTTGTGTTAGCTAACAAAACAACATTAACTATCCCCCCATTAATAGACAAGAATTTTAAACACTTTTTTTGACATTTAGTATCCCAAGTGAATTTTGGATTTTCTCAGATATTTCCAAGTGTTGACTGTTTCTCACCCATTTTGCACAAGATTGCATGTAAAGCAAAGAAGGGTGTTAATAAGCATATTTATTTTATCAGATAATAACTGGGCATTGTATTTGGACAGTCGAAAACATTTTTATGAGCATTTGCTGTGGATCTATGAAGCTGTTGATTTACCATCTGTATTTAACTTCTTATGTAGTGGGAAAAGTGTATTTCAAAACAAAGTAGAATTTTCCCTTGTCAAGTAGTAACTAGACTTTCTACTTGGACTTTTACCTATTTTATGACAATTTGCCATGTTAAATGTGATACTCTTGACTTACCTCAGGTATTCAGCCTAATTTCTAGGGTGGTAGGAAAATTGTATTTCAAAACAAAGTGGAATTTTCACTTGTCAAATAATAACTAGACTTTCTAGTTAGACATTTAATCTCTTTTAAATGAAAATTTGCTATGGACCTATGAACCTGCTGGTTTTCTACATGCCTTTGGCTTAACTTTTAGCATGGTAGGGAAATTTATTTCTAAGCACAGTAACATTTTCAGTCGTCAGTATTAGCTAGACTTAGTATTTGGTTATTTTATCACTATTATAAGAGTTGCCATCAATCTAAAAGCTGTAGGTTTACCTGGTGTATTTAGCTTAGCTTCTAGGACAATGGACAAATTGTATTTTTAAGCAAATTGGAATTTTCACTAGTCTTTCTCTCAAACATTAAAAATAGTGAGAGACAGGACCAGAGAAAACCAGTGAGAGAACTCAAAGACAACATGTATTTCAGATTCTAACACGGGTTTCCTACTGATGAAAACCATGCTCTAAACAAAATGCTGAATCAGGGAAGAAACCCTGACATGTTAAAAAACTCTCCATCAAATTTCAGATTGTTTGAGGATTCCAGTAAGGGCAGGATTTATAGATCCTATTTTCTCCTAAATAACCAGCCACTTTGTTTCTTTTTCTCTTTTACTAACTGTAGCACACACTCACTCTTTCTGACTCCTTTTCTTGAACCTTACCCTTGCCTCAGCTTTAAACATCAGAGTGCAAATCCTATTGCTGATCTTATTTCCTGCTCTTATTGCAAAATAAGGATTCCAGGTGAATAGATGATATGAGTTTATGTGTCCGCTAGAAATTCTCGAGATGGAGCTGTGGTTTAGTCCAAAGCTTCATAGAACTGTTAACATGGTGGCTTTTTTCCCCCTTTTCATCCTATTGAACTTCTCCAGCAGAGAAAGAGAGACAGACATAACAGACATACAGACAGACAGTCATGAGCAGACTCTCTCTCTTACACACACACACACTCAAGCTTTTTCTAAACTTCAGAATACTGCTCTCTAGTCGGCTGTCTTCCTGATTTCCAGAAATGTTAGCCAAAACAGGAATGCAAAATTCAAAAAAAGAAGCTGGTGTTCCTAAGGATCAACAAGTCTTTTTAAATGAACATTTTTTGATCGGGTTTTTAGTTGATAGGATCAGATGGAGTCTCAATGCTCTTAAAGCTGTTTAATATGATGTGCCTCCAAACAACATTCTCTCTAAGCAGAATTCCTAGTGTCTTCAATTTTTAAACAATGTAACTGTAGTAAAGACAGTATTGAATAAAAAACAATCTCCACAGTCTGATGCTAGAACAGACATTTCCACTGATGCTTCTTTCTTTCTTGTCTTTGTTCTGTGTGCATAAGTATTTTTCAAAGACTGTAATTTTAATATGTGTAGTTTTGTACACTTTGTTTTGAAACATAAGTGCATCTTGCTTTCAGCAAAGCATTTGTTAAGGCTTTAGATGCTCTTATGCGAGATGGTGTGTAGACTAGCCGGATTGTTTTGTGAGTATGAGGTAGGCTAAGCTAAGCACCCACCAGGTGTGTGGGTTACTGGGTTGGGGTCCAAGAGTGGTCCCTAGGGAAAGATCCAAGCCTTTGCCCTGGGTCTTCTCTTTTTCAGTGAATTTTATGAATGATTTTGATGAAGATTTAAGAAGCTTGCATTAAAATCCAGGGATGACTTGCAAAGGGGTAACTGTGATAAGTAGATAACAGAATTTAGAGTTAATATTACTTAAACAGGCTGCTGTGCCATGCAAAAGATGTTTTATAGCAGTAAATACATCATAATTCATTGGTATATAAGGAAGGAGGTGACTTAATGTGGTGGCAATTTTTGAGGGAAAAGAAGGTTAATATGAACCAGCGGTTTGATGTGTCTGTGAAAAAGAAAAAAAAATCAAATTCAGATTCTGAGAATAGTATAGTGTCCATATGTCACAAAAATTAATAGTACCCCCCTCTAATTAACCACATCTGTAGTATTGTGTCCATTTCTGGCTGTCACATTTAAAGAGAGACGTTGACAAATTAGACAACTTCCAGAACAGTCCGTGGGGATGGTGAGGGGTCTGGCAATCCTGTCACGGGAGGTAT